TACGAAGGATTCTTGCTAATTCAAAGGGTTCTTGCTAATTCAAAGGGTTCTTGCCTAATTGAAAGGGTTCTTGCCTAATTCGAAGGGTTCTTGCCTAATTCGAAGGGTTCTTACCTAATTCAAAGGGTTCTTACCTAATTCGAAGGGTTCTTACCTAATTCAAAGGGTTCTTGCCTAATTCAAAGGGTTCTTGCCTAATTCAAAGGGTTCTTGCCTAATTCGAAGGGTTCTTGCCTAATTCAAAAGGTTCTTGCCTAATTCAAAGGGTTCTTGCCTAATTCAAAGGGTTCTTACCTAATTCAAAGGGTTCTTACCTAATTCAAAGGGTTCTTGCCTAATTCGAAGGGTTCTTACCTAATACGAAGGTTTCTTGCCTAATTTGAAGGGTTCTTACCTAATTCGAAGGGTTCTTACCTAATTCAAAGGGTTCTTGCCTAATTCAAAGGGTTCTTGCCTAATTCAAAGGGTTCTTACCTAATTCAAAGGGTTCTTACCTAATACGAAGGTTTCTTGCCTAATTCAAAGGGTTCTTGCCTAATTCAAAGGGTTCTTGCCTAATTCAAAGGGTTCTTACCTAATTCAAAGGGTTCTTGCCTAATTCGAAGGGTTCTTACCTAATACGAAGGTTTCTTGCCTAATTCAAAGGGTTCTTGCCTAATTCAAAGGGTTCTTGCCTAATTCAAAGGGTTCTTACCTAATTCAAAGGGTTCTTGCCTAATTCAAAGGGTTCTTACCTAATACGAAGGATTCTTACCTAATGCCCGGAGTTCTCCAGCTGGCACCAAACTCATCGATATCAAGGGTGGTACTCCCATCTCTTTTCTGTAGATCGTTGTGGGGATTTTCATCTGCGTTGCCTAGGAGACCACATACTTTGCCGTGATATTCTGGATTGAGGATGGCGGCATTGAATATATGTTTTCGTCCATCCCACTCAACTTCTAGCTTCAGGCGAGCAATATCAATGACTATGCTGTCGCTGTTGACATCAATATGGGCATTACGTGGTCGATCAGATAGTTGAGCCACCCAGTATGGTTGGTCATTCACCTAAATCAGAGCACAAAGCATGAATATCAGTCTGGAACATCGCATTTTTGTTTGTCAAATAATGATTCTTATTAATTATAAACTATTGATAACGTTATAATAATCATATTTGAGATTACAAAGCGTAATATTAATTACTAGAATTGTATCCTTATCCAAGCTGATCCTTTCATCCCCAATTGTGACGTTAATAGCCGTGGCACGTGACTTAATCTCCGGACCATTAGACTTGAGAGGTTCAAATCTGGCGCTGATTTCAAATTCTGGGTTTTCTGTACAGTGCTTCACCAATGTATACCAACATGTGCCCTGGAAGTTATAGCGAAATCCATCAAATGTGGCCATGTGTGGATCCCGTTTAGCACTAGCCATGACGCATGGACCATCATCTGAAATATGACAATAACAATAATCAGACTACAATGATATCGCAATGTGTGTAGTACTAGAATCACGTGACAGTGACGTTGACACAATAATCAGCTCAGCATTGATTCCAATGTTATGAGTATACTTGTGTTTCCACAGAACACAATATGTATTGTTACGTCATAATATATTAAAGATGTATACCAGGTATAGTGTGCTGAACTATTTGTCCAACCTGGATGAAGTCACCAACATTATTTGGGTCATCTAACATCGAAACACCAGAGACTACAAATGGTGGGTTCCATCCAATAGGAACATTCCAATCCAAAGTTTCCGATTCCAAACCAGGCTGCAACACAATCTCGCCTTCATGTGTGTTCGCTGCTGGAGTTTGGTCGATGTCGAATCGTACAGTCAACTTGGGCATATTGGTACTGTCTGATCTTATGAAAGTTAGCGCAAGAGAGCAGTCAGCTTGGCGTTGAGACGAAACAACAACGTCATCTAGATAAATATTTTAACAAAGGAAAAAAAAACTATTAATCGCAGTTTAATTGTATGTGTTATAGGATATTATATTGCTCAGCATCATTGCCTTGCACAACCTGTGTT